TTTTTTTTTTAATCTATTCTTGCATAATAACCATTTTGAAATCATGAAAATTAGTCCGGCAGCCCAGAAGATTTATTCAAGGGAAAAGCGCCGGAACAACTGACCCCATAGGCCGATGGGGTGGACCCTAGACCTCACGAAAATGGATTGCTGCCGGGTCTGAGCTGTGGTCTTCTCGCCAAAATCACACAATTTGTGACGTCACTACCGGAAGTTCCATTTTTGACAATGTACAGAGAGGTACACATGACACCATCCCATAAAACATGTCCCCTACCTATTTTTAGGTTTTTTTTGTGATTTTTTTGTTATAACTCGACTAGCCGATAGTATACAATACACCACAAAGAGTTTTCCCGGTGTTTGCATCCCCGAAATCGATGATTACGACGATAGCCTTAAGTAGCGACGTCGTCGACATCGGGCCAATTTGTCCGATTTTTTACTCAATTTCGGATTCAAATATTGAAGTTTACTTTAAATAGCTTTTCAATTACCCGATAGCTCTTGAACTTGACCTACATATGGAGCAAGTTCTTTGCTTTTCAGAACATATATGGATGTTAAACATATCTGCATATTTAGGTTGTTTTCTGACCATTTAAGTAACATGGTTTTCAGGAAAATCGGTCAAAAATTCGAGTTTTGGGGTGACATATTAGAACAGGTATTTTAAACAAGCGCTGTACGGGGAAAATATCATACTGAACTGATTGATACTAATAATATTTACACATACTCTTCAACCCCATCCCCCTCCCCCCTCCCTCCCTACACCTCACTCTATCTCTCTTCCATTACATCAACCTCTCTCTCTCTCTCTCCCTCTCTCCCTCGCACATTTTGTATCAATACTCTAATATCTCGTGTCTCTGATATGTAGTAATGTATTTTGTGGTATGTCTGTCACTATTCACTCTCTTATTACACAAGCTCTCTCTCTTTCTCATAACTTCATCTCTTTCTCCCCTATCTCTCCCTCTCTCTTTCTCTTTCTCCTTTATATACATGTATATATATATATATATATATAAGGATAGCATTCACCAAGTGTATATATATCTCTTCCCTTGTTTTCTATATCTCCTCGTACAACACCACCCCTTCTCTCTCTCTCTTTCTTTCTATCTCACACTTCTCTATCCCCTTTCCCTTCCACTATCTCTCTCTCTCTCTCTCTCTCTCTCTCTCTTTATAGATCTCAATTTCGGTCTCGATATCCCTTCATGTGCTACCCAACCATCTCTGTCATTCTTCCTCATACATCCACTATGACTGATATTATACTTTTCTAGATAAAAGTCAAATATATTCGTTTAACCCAAGAAGATATTTATTCAGATATAATGGGTATGCCTCTTTGTATTTTCTTTTACTGTAGCGATTCAAAACAGAATGTTGAGGAAGAGCAGTGCAAACTGTTTAAAAAAAATCCTATTCATCTTAACACTTTTCCATTCTATTTCACCCATGTACGTGTAATCCTCACTTTAATTGTAATATGGTGTTATGGACCTATTTCTTTTTACATCCTCCATTATACAGAGTGAGTAAGTTTTTTTTTTACTATTTCAATTCAGTATTATTTCAAAAATGTGGGATTTTTTTTTCTGACTCATGCTGTATAGGTATACCACATGTATAAAAAATAGTAAAGAATTTGTTTTATTTATGTTACCTCATAATTCCAGAAGATAAGGTAGAAGCATTGGACACAAGTTGGCCCTATGAGAATAAGGAAGACCCTCAATATTATGCCAGTCCTTCAAGCTAAAATTTGTAAATTTGGAACAATGATCTTCATCACTTTTTTTTGTGAACAGTTGTGTAATTTCTATTCACCAGGCCTATACATGTGTCAGAAATGCTTCGTCATGAATTTAAAACATATGTATCAAATTTGAGATGTGCAATGACATGTTTCACGGATAGCATCTTGCATTACGAGTCTTCTTCATCGCTGACTCCGACATCGCTCTCATCACTTTCCTCACTCCAAGCATCGTCTGATTCCTCCTCATCCTGGACGCTGTCATCATCTTCTGTAGGTGTGGTAGGTGAACCTGTGAGAGACTCTGGGACTGCACTTCCTGGGTACCACTCTGGTTCGAAGCAGTTGTTAGTTGATTTCCAGCCAAAGTCCAAAGGACGGGATCCACCGGTTGGCTCCGCCTGGTCAGCCCTCTTCCACATTCTGGCAACATAGTGGGCTCTTTTGATATGGTTACCAAGTGTCTTTGCACATTGGGGAGAGAAGAACAGTTTATTTTCTTCAACTTTGCAAGAGGGCCCTTCTCACCTCCGCTGCTTATCCGTTTGAAAGCTTTGCATCTGGCCTCGTTTATGTCGGATGTTACACAGCCATATAACGAGCAAACGAAAGATGTAATAGCTGGGACATCAACCTCCTCGCTTGTTAGTGATCGAAGCGCTTGCATGTGGGTGGTACTGGCTTCCATCTTTTGTAGGGGCTTCATCTTCCCCTTTCTGAAGAAACACGAGGTAAAGTCACATCCAGTCAGGGCATGGAGACCGATCAGTGCTTCTGTTGAACCGGGTTGTTTATTTTCTTGAAGGGCAGCTACATTTGAGACATCAATGTATCTCCTGTTATTGCCAGAACCATAGTCCATTATGATGTTCATCCCTGTTGACCTCCCACAGAGCCCAAGCAGGATAATAAAGACGTCTGTATCACTCGACCTGACAAGGATGTTGCCGTCTGAAATCTCCCTTGCATGGAAAGCTATGAGAGTATCCGCCTCTTCGTGGTGACATTGGAAGGAACTTGGCTGATCTATCTCAAGTTGATTGTCCCCATTACTTTTCAGTTCAATACAAGCTCCGCCGTGGGACACATACAGCGTTTTTCTCCCGACTATTGCTGCGTACTCTGGCTTCCTCCATTCTTCCATAACAAACTTGGCGAATTCTTCCTTGAATGAACTACTCCTGAGTAATTCTATGCCACTCTGACGCTGGGCCTGATCAGGTCCAGTTATGATGAATAGCTGAGAGGTAGATTGACGTAGATTTCGCTCGTGGTCTTTGATGGAAGGTGACTGGTACTTGTCTAGCACTAGGTGTATTTGCTCTCCGCGACTCGAACAAACCCTTTCCAGAAGATCCTTGGCCATGATTCCGTATGTTGATTTGCTATGTTGGAGAACGGTTTCATGAATGATGATACCACCATCAATCACACTAGCTGAGATCACGGGGAGATTTGTAGGCAACAGCGCTGCTTCCTGTTTGCATTCAAGTTTTCTTGTCAAAGCTGCCTTCTCCGTCTTTAGGGGAGTCCCATCACTATGGGCAAGTGAAAGAGGCACTTCTGTGAGTGGGAAGCTGAGAATGTGCTGTAGGTCAAGTGCATCAGTTGAATCAGCGGCAACAGCTAACATTCGCCCAAAGACATCCCTGGCTCCCTCAGCTGCGTTCACTCTCCGTACTGCCGTCTTGGATCTCTTGGCGTTTTCTGCTGCGAAGTTTAACATCTTGATCCGTGTTACTGGCTTCAGAAACCGTGAAGTATCAGCTGCACATTCATCTTGAAAGGCGAGTCGAAGATGTTTTCCTCGTTCAAGTGTTGAAAGGAGAAATGCACTCGTTGCATCCTTTGCAGTTCTTCCTGATGAAACATTGATGAGCTCAGCAGGAGAGCCAGTGGCAAATGGGTTGCATGTGTTGGTCAATGTATGTGTTATAGCTTTCTTGTCAGCATCATCCCGTTCGATTCTCCGTTTTGTCAGCTGATTCATTGATTCTTCCCCTTGGTGAAGACTGACCAGTTCACGAAGTGCTGTAAGTGCCATACTTCGTTGTGAGAGAGTAATAGCCCATCTTCTGAAAGCACTGTGTGAATTAGTGAAAGTTGCTATGCCTTTCGTGGGAGAAGAAGCATCCCTGTTTACGGTCTGCTCCAAGGTCAAGTCAACTGCGCATCTTGAATAGGATTTCTTCGTGCGCCGAATGGACATGCCTCCTGCCTCTAGAATCTCGCGTGCTTTGGGATCCATATTCTGAAGCTTGTTGAGAAAAAGGGATCCCCATCTTGCATAATTTGGCCGGTTCAAAGCAAAGAACACGTCGATCACCTCTGGGAGGATCTGGATGTATCTATCAACATCATTCGTCCGTACGGCGCGCTGAAGATCTCGATACACTCTATTGATGAGGTAGACATAGATGGCCCAATATGCTGCTGTGCCTCCATGCTTTCCAGCAATGACATCCTGAAAGAAGCGCTCGTATTTCTCTTGGAGATCATTCAGTGCAGCATTGTCTGCAAGAAGTTGGCAGTGTTCGACGCTGGTGTCACTGTCAGATACCACATCATTTACCAGAGATCGGTCTGCGTCTTCCAATGTTTCTATGTATCTGGACAGCAATGATTGTTCCATCACAGCAGCCAGAACTTGATGGAGTCTCGTACACCCGTTGTAGAACTTGCCCTTCATGAAACCAGCAAGGGATCCTTCGGCCAGGACACCAGCCTCGGTGAGGAGATATTCTATCCCTGATTCAGCCAAGTAGGTTCCTAGGGCTCCGAAATACGCAAGCTCTAGATGAAAGTTGCCAAGCATTACTATGACCTTATCAAAGGTTGGCGCTTGCAGGGCTTGAATGGAATATGCCTTCAGAGCTACAGCAAGGTCATAGGTAACGACCGCATATCCCTGTTTCGTCTCCTGCGAAACTTTTACAGAACGCATCATCGTTTCTTGTACTACGTCGTTTCTTGTCGGGGGCTGAGAGATGGGGTCCATATAAGCTATCGTAGTTCTAGGGAGGCTATCCGTCACATATTGGGAGAAAAAGCCAGTATGAAGGGGCAACTTCTTTGTTGAAGATTGAAGGAGCCACGTGAAATCCAACTTCTCCTGCTGAATCTTTGCTTTCTCCTTTTGCACTATCTCAGTGCACGCAGTCATGGTGGTTGATGGACCAAGCTTGAATTTTGCCTGTTTTAGCGACGTGTAGAACGGTGGAATCTTCTTTTACTTCCCGCCGAAGCTCTTTCTTTTCCGCCCAGAAAGTGTCCCGGGTGACTTAGAATCTGATGGTTCGGGGACTGGCTCTGAAGGCAGCTCGTTTTGGTAGCATATTCCCACCGTTGCGTGAAGAGTGTCTTTACCATCAAGGGTCTCTGTATTGACGTCGTAGTTATCCCATGCTAATCCTGAAATGATAATTAAAAATTACATATATTGACAATGCTGAGAAATATTGATATTATCATCATCATCTTCATTATTATTATCATCAATATAATCATTATTCTTATTACCATTATAAATAACAGTAGCAAAAGTAGGAGCAGTATAGTAGTATAATTGCTTTTATGATATTCATCATCATAATAATCATTCTTACCTGTTCCTAATGCATCTAGCAAATGAAGGCCTGCTGGGGTTTCCCTATCACAGTTGGAGCATGTGTAGGCAATTTCTGTCTCAAGTCCCTTCACCTCATCGTAGCTGATGCAATGTCCAAAGCGATTCATAATGGTAATTAAGGTCTTTGATCCTGTCAGTGCTCCTAATCCCAACCCGATGGTTTGATGCTTCCATGGCTTGACATTCCCTCGACTGCAGTTAAAAATGGCATCCGATGACAAAGCCATTGCTTTTCTCTCAACCACATCACGACTTGATTCTACTCCTGTGTCTGCCTGTAATCCACCGACAAGGGTACGGAAGAAAAATAAAATCAGATCGGGAATCATAGGGGCATTTTCTAAGTCGTCTAAGTCGCTTCTGTGCCGTAAAGAAAAAGGCATCTTCATTGCATGGGTCGTCCGAACCGCCTTACAAAGCAACTATAATAATAATAATAATAATAATAATAATAATAATATGTCTTGTTTACCCAGGGTAGCCTCATCAGTATTCATACTGTTCTCCCTGAGGGCCCTGCAATCATATTATTACCCCGCACATTGGGGGCGCTTGAGCCAACCCCCCCCCCCCCCCGCCCCCACTCCCCCAAAAACAAAAAAAGAACCGTACCTGCATACGTTGAGATTTGTGTCGTATCTGAACGCATATTTGCAATGTGCTCATTGAACTTTCGTCCAATACCCTGATAACAGGCTAATCGACGCATTATATAAACACACTGATAACGACACCTTCAATATATAGTGACAGGTTATGAACATTTTATCAGCATGCTAAACAATCTAAGTCCATGTAGCTTTCCTGTGCCATTATTTTTAGCATTTCAATGTTATAATGATAGATAATTGATATATCACACAAGCTTGCTTGGGAATGGTTTGATCAATATAAAATAATGTAAGACCTGACCCTGTTACGTAAATTGAAGTATCAATAACAACTGCGACTGATCTATAAAAAAAGTCTCCATATAACTAAATGAATGCAAGTATTTCAGTAGCTAATAAGAGTATTGTATCCTAAAATAACAAGATTTGTGTAAAAGGGCCCTGTGTGCAAAATTATTGATGGGTCTATTCTTGGAGGATATACGTGTATTATAGGAGACAATCATTTTATTTTAAATTTATGTGACTTCTTTCAATTTTAATGCAATACGGAGAAATTAGAATACATGACGTGTTTGAGTGTGGGATGTACGCGGGCGAGTATGTGTAGTTATTTCGTTGTAATCAATTCTATATTGATGATAATATAATATTTTGCATTCTAAATGATTTGATTTGTATTCGATTGTATTTTAGGGTGGGGGTAGTCCAGAATCTACCCAGTCGTTTATAAATCCCTACACACTTGATTCAAGCCGTCGAAGATGGCGTTATCAACAAACTCATAATTATGGTCACCCGCCATCTATGATCCTCTTAGCTCTTCAATTATGTATTTCTATGTTCTTCCTTTGACTTATCCTCTTTTCTTTCCTTATGTATTTCCTTGTTTTTCCTTCTCCATATCCTCTCCACTATCCTTGTTTTCCCCTTTCTATCATATTTCCTTCCCTGAGGTGGGTGTACGTGCTTGCAGAGCGCTGACAACTTAGACTCTTTCACCAGAGCACTTCTTGGAATTCTTTCGCGAAAATGGCTTAACAGTTATGTAAAAAAAAAATATATGCTCAGCCGGGCGTCCTAATTTAATGATCACGCCATCATCGGCTGGTAGCAAGTACGTACGGAAAGGTAGCGTTGATGAGGTGTAGATCAAAACTAAATAGGCCAGATTCTGAAAAAGAAAAAAAAAGTTTTCGGAGTCAAATACAAAAATAAAAGATGCATACTCCCCCCCCCCCCCCCCCCCCCCACCGAGCGAGATATTGGTAGGCTCGATTTTCACATTTTCGGGGTCATATACCAAAAAATAAATGATGCATACTCCCCCCCCCCCCCCCCACTGAGCGAGATATTGGTCGGCGCGATTTTCACATTTTAGGCCCCCCCCCCCCCCTATCGGCAAATCCTGGATCCGCCCCTGTGTTTATGCGCATGTTTATGCGTGCGTGAGCGTGTGTGTGTGCGTGTGTGTGCGTGTGTGTGTGTGTGTATGTGAAGGTGGGAAGGTGCAGGCGTGGGCATTTGTTTGTGTGTTTATACAACCATTTCAAGGACACCCTGAAAATGCAGTTGCGGTTTATAGTTACGGGGTAGAGCTACAGCCTCATCAGCTTTGATCATTAACTATATACACACAACTAAAAAATAAATTGAAATAAAATGCTATTACTACTTCTACCACTACTACTAAAAACAATAATGATATTAATAATCATAATCATAATCATAATAATAATTATAATAATAATAATAATAATAATAATAATAATTATAATGAAAACAATAATAATAATAATGAAAAGAATAATACAAATAATAATGATAATGATAATAAGAATTAAAGAAGGGTAAAAAAGCTGAAAAATAATAAGAAGAACAAGACCAAGAACAAGAACAAGAAGAAATAAAATAATGGAAGAAGAAGCAGTGTAGTAGTAGTAGTAGTAGTAGTAGTAGTAGAAGAAGAAGAAGGAGAACCAGAAGAACAAATACAAGAATAACAAGGAGATGACGAAAGATCAAGAATAAATTTCATTCATAAAAATAGGGATGGGTGATATGAGTGCTTCAGAAGCATTTTCTACCTTAGCAATTAGTATTACTCCAAAATCATAGTTTCACTGCAATGTAAATTACAGATATACATCCGCCCTCAGTATGGTCTGAAATCAGATCGTCACTTATATCCATCAAGTTGAGAGTTAAGAGATAAAATGGAGATCATTTACTTAATTTTACCGGTACTTCATCATGTTTATAGCACCGAAGCACTTGGATCGAGAGTTTGAATTTGTTACAGGGCCGATCTGCATGGGAGCGCAAAATGCCTGCCCTTGTCTCCGGTTCGATTTGAAGACAGGATAGCATTACTGAAAACTATTTTAAGAAGTTTTAGGGCGGGGGTTTTATGTTTATGCTGGTATCATCCCCTATCGTATTTACACGTTGCCTTTCAACTTTTCCATCTCTCTCTCCCCCCCCCCCCTCTCTCTCTCTCTCTCTCTCTTTCTCCCTCTCTCCCTATCTCTCCCTCTCTCTCTCCTTCCCTCTCTCTCTCTCCCTCTATCCTTAATGTTATCTTTATTTGCTATCAAATGGGGCTCCTGGCCCCGAAGCCACCCCATTGCAGAAACATAGCCCGAATTGGGGGGGGGGGCTGTCTTCATTTGTCTATTAAAAGACAACGCCCCATTCTCGTTTGAGGGGGCGGCAGGGGGTTCCCTATAAAATCAAAATAATGGGTACGCCACTGTTTTTCGAGATGCCTCTCAAGGAACGTTTGAAGGCCATTTTACTTGAAGAATAACTCGATACGGTGCTCGCGGAGACTGAGGTGAATCATCATTATCGTTTCATTTTCCTTCCACGCCGGTGAACTTGTAAGAGCTTGGAAAGGCTTAGAATTTGCAGAGGAAAAATGGCGCCCTTTCTTCTCGCTTTCATCATATTTGGAGTCGCTAGGACTAATGGTAAGAGTTCATTATCGTTGTAATTTTCAAATTTCGTCCAATGACATGCTATATACGATTTGATATTCGATACTGAGAAACAATTCTATGATATTTTAATACGAAGAGTCATAGTCTTAATATATGATAATTGAGTTAGTCAGGCTTTACGACAAAATATACAAATCATATAACCTGGGCAAGGGCAAGGGGAAATCCAGATTTGGGGGATAAAAAGGAAATTAATGGGATAAAAAATGAGCAATCGATAACTGGTAAAGCAATGACGTCTCAAAATGTTAACTAAATTGGCAAATTGTGTAATGATTTTCTCTAAGTTCCATAGTTTTTCCTTTAAAAAATTCATAACTTCCTTATTAGTTATCCGATTTTACTCAAACTGTTTTGCTCTGTTTCTCTTGTTTTTCTGCATCTATTCAAAGCAAATCATTATTGGAGTAGACTAAGCCTTTAAGGAAGTACATAGTTTTCAAGAAATGTAGAAATACAAAAGTGTTTTTACCCCTCTCTTCCTATCTCTTATCCCTCCCCCTCCCCCAACCTTCCTACTTTTCCCTTTTCTCTGTTTCTCATTTCCTTATCTCTCTATCTCTCTCTCTCTCTCACCTCTCTCTCTCTCTCCCTCTCTATCTCCATTTCTCTCCTACTCGTCACCTTTTCCCCTCTTGCTCTCCCTGCATTCACATTCCACCTTTTTCGTTGTCTCTCTCCGCCACACAGCTATGCCATACCCCGGCGACATACCGGGCGACGACGAAGACGGGTACAATGTCGGCATCCCCTTCTCCGAAGTCTGTCATCGGGCCTTCACCGACAACGAGCCGAAATATGACATCGGGTTTGTCAACTACATGGTCGATTCCATCTGCCCGTTCGTCTCCGATGATGACGAGAAAGGCTCGGGGAGGGGTCCGTTTACTGGTTGGGATACGGGCTGCAGATCTTAACCATCGAAAATATAGGTATGCTTATGACGTGTTGATGATGACGATAATAAGTAAAATGATGATCATGCTGGTGAAAATGAAAATGAGAATGAGGATGATGATGTTGATGATGATGATGATGATGTTGATGATGATGATAATTAAGGTTAGAAAGGTGATGATGATGATAATGACGATGGTGGTGTTGGTAATGATGATAATGATGATAATGATGATGATGATGAAGGTGAGAATGGTGATGATGATGATCATAATGATGATTTATATCATTTCTATATGGCGCCATATTCTGTTTAAGATTTGTTAGATTTTTTTCTGGCAGGTTAGTGATGATGATGATGAAAATGAAAATAATGACGATAGTGGTGATGGTGAAGATGATAATGATGACAATGATTTTGTTCTGATAGGTAGGCAAAACTGAAGAGGATCATGATAATGATGATCTTGATTATCGCATTTTCATGGCACCATAATTCTGTTTAATATTTTTGTTTTTCTGGTCGTATGATATTGATGATCATGATGACGACGAGGACGATGATGAGGATGGTGATACTTCTCAGCATTTGTAAGTCGCCATAAAATGTTTGTTAAAACCATTCAAAGGCGCAGACTCGTGCACTTTTTGTTGGTTGCTGTAATGTATTGATATTGTGGGCCGATTAGGCTGGTGGCCGAGACTGATTACTTAAGGCCACAGAATGAAAAAAGATCCATGGAATGTTTTGAATATTTCTAAGAATTTACGTTCACAATAAATGAATGAAATATAAAAGGAATCACGAATGTATATATTAAAACTCTGTTATCTCTCTCTCTCTCTCTCTTTCTCTCTCTCTCTCTCTTTCTC